GGACTGTTCAGTAGAGACGCACGGACTGTTCAGTAGAGACGCACGGACTGTTCAGTAGAGACGCACGGACTGTTCAGTAGAGACGCACGGACTGTTCAATAGAGACGCACGGACTGTTCAATAGAGACGCACGGACTGCTCTGTAGAGACGCACGGACTGTTCAGTAGAGACGCACGGACTGTTCAATAGAGACGCACGGACTGTTCAATAGAGACGCACGGACTGTTCAATAGAGACGCACGGACTGTTCTGTAGAGACGCACGGACTGTTCAATAGAGACGCACGGACTGTTCTGTAGAGACGCACGGACTGTTCAATAGAGACGCACGGACTGTTCAATAGAGACGCACGGACTGCTCTGTAGAGACGCACGGACTGTTCAGTAGAGACGCACGGACTGTTCAGTAGAGACACACGGACTGTTCAGTAGAGACGCACGGACTGCTCAGTAGAGACGCACGGACTGTTCTGTAGAGACGCACGGACTGTTCTGTAGAGACGCACGGACTGTTCTGTAGAGACGCACGGACTGTTCAGTAGAGACGCACGGACTGTTCAGTAGAGACGCACGGACTGTTCAGTAGAGACGCACGGACTGTTCTGTAGAGACGCACGGACTGTTCAGTAGAGACGCACGGACTGTTCAGTAGAGACGCACGGACTGTTCAGTAGAGACGCACGGACTGCTCTCTAGAGACGCACGGACTGCTCTCTAGAGACGCACGGACTGTTCTGTAGAGACGCACGGACTGCTCTGTAGAGACGCACGGACTGTTCAGTAGAGACGCACGGACTGCTCAGTAGAGACACACGGACTGCTCTGTAGAGACGCACGGACTGTTCTGTAGAGACGCACGGACTGTTCTGTAGAGACGCACGGACTGCTCTGTAGAGACGCACGGACTGTTCTGTAGAGACGCACGGACTGTTCTGTAGAGACGCACGGACTGTAGAGACGCACGGACTGCTCAGTAAAGACACACGGACTGCTCTGTAGAGACGCACGGACTGTTCAGTAGAGACGCACGGACTGTTCAGTAGAGACGCACGGACTGCTCAGTAGAGACGCACGGACTGTTCAGTAGAGACGCACGGACTGTTCTGTAGAGACGCACGGACTGTTCTGTAGAGACGCACGGACTGCTCAGTAGAGACGCACGGACTGTTCAGTAGAGACGCACGGACTGTTCAGTAGAGACGCACGGACTGTTCAGTAGAGACGCACGGACTGTTCAGTAGAGAGGCACGGACTGCTCAGTAGAGACGCACGGACTGCTCAGTAGAGACGCACGGACTGTTCAGTAGAGACGCACGGACTGTTCAGTAGAGACGCACGGACTGTTCAGTAGAGACGCACGGACTGTTCAGTAGAGACGCACGGACTGTTCAGTAGAGACGCACGGACTGTTCAGTAGAGACGCACGGACTGTTCAGTAGAGACGCACGGACTGTTCAGTAGAGACGCATGGACTTGGCGGGAAAGTGAAAAGGGAGGAGCAGGAGCGAAAAATCAACGCCCACAGGAGATGGATTCTGCTCATCCTTTCCTTGGGACGATCGTGCGACAACCAATCAGAGAGCAGCAAAGTGGTCACGGGGACATTAGCGGACTGAGCGAGCAGACTGAACATACTCGTAAACAGCCAAAACAGGAGCTACACCAGGACTAAACCAGGACTAAACCAGGACTAAACCAGGACTAAAGCAATCCTTTTGGCACAGTCACTCTAAAACTCTCTGACATCCTGAGCTGAAGAGTCCCGCTCTCCCCATCTCTGTGTCTATTGAGCGCCACCTCTACCAGCCCCATACCAGATACACAAAATGCCTTCTGACATCTCTAGCTATCGCCAAGAGGATAATCTTACTAAACTGGAAAACCAAAAACTCAATAAGCATCAACCGCTGGATCAACTCCCTCACTCATCACGTCACCACACATCACCACACACACACACACACACACACACACACACACACATCACCCATCATCTCAGGATGATAACGTACTGTCCTTCACGGAAACTTGGTCACCCTTCATCAAATACCTCAATATCACCGAATACTAATCACTAGTGTTTGGAAGCCCCCCCACTATCCACTGGCACGCACACGCACACACGCACACACACACACCACACACCACACACCACACACCACACACAACACACAACACACAACACACAACACACACACACACACAGAATCCTAACACCATTAGTATTATGCTGCTAACCCTGTCACCACAGTAACCAAAGCCCTTTTTACCAAACCAAAACTGAAAAAATGAAAAAATGATAAAAACCAACAACAGACTCACACCTACTAGATCAGGCCCTTCAGGAGGGGAGGCATGCGCTCTAGAGGTGACTCCCCTGGAGCGCAGACCTCCCACAGAACCCTGGATTTTTAATGCATAACATAAGCCACGCTCAACACACACATACAATACACACAAGATTAAACAAGGAAGTGGCCCTGCTGTTGCTGGAGGAGACCCCTCCAGCAACAGCATGTTCTGTGCGTATCTGGTGCATGTTTTTAATGCACTAGACGCGCACAAAAAATAAATAAATGAAAAAATACAAATAATAATAATAATACAAAATGAGCAAATAAATATATTGTCACATAAACAGCCAAAATACGTTACTGGGATCTGTGGAGACAGCAAGTGGCAGCACTCATTTGTTTTTGTTTTTCTTGTTTTTCTCCGTTTTATTCACTGTTATTGCTCTGTTTTTCTATTTTTTCTATTTCTTCTTCAGACACATATGGTCACACATTTATACATATACACAAACATTCAAACACATTAACACCCACACTTACACATTAGCACCTACATATTTCCACGACAGTACTTGCCTGTTATTTTTTTTTTTTATTTAGTGTTTTGTTTTTCTTCGTTTCATGCTCTGGATGCCTTAAAAATGCCCCCCCCCCCCCCCCCCCCCACTCCCCCTTCCCTCCTCCACCAATATATTCTGCACTACTATGTTGTACATAGTAATTTATGTTTTTTATGGAATCTGTATCACATGGTGTTAGATAAAGAAAAAATAAATAAAAAAATGGACTAAACCAGGACTAAACCAGGACCAAACCAGGGTTGACAATGGGGGACATTGTCACCTCCGTGAACACATACTGCTGTTATATAAAGTCACCGTGAACACATACTGCTGTTATATAAAGTCACCGTGAACACATACTGCTGTTATATAAAGTCACCTCTGTGAACACATACTGCTGTTATATAAAGTCACCGTGAACACATACTGCTGTTATATAAAGTCACCGTGAACACATACTGCTGTTATATAAAGTCACCTCCGTGAACACATACTGCTGTTATATAAAGTCACCGTGAACACATACTGCTGTTATATAAAGTCACCTCCGTGAACACATACTGCTGTTATATAAAGTCACCTCCGTGAACACATACTGCTGTTATATAAAGTCACCTCCGTGAACACATACTGCTGTTATATAAAGTCACCGTGAACACATACTGCTGTTATATAAAGTCACCTCCGTGAACACATACTGCTGTTATATAAAGTCACCTCCATGAACACATATTACTGTTATATAAAGTCACCGTGAACACATACTGCTGTTATATAAAGTCACCTCCATGAACACATACTGCTGTTATATAAAGTCACCTCCGTGAACACATACTGCTGTTATATAAAGTCACCTCCGTGAACACATACTGCTGTTATATAAAGTCACCTCCGTGAACACATACTGCTGTTATATAAAGTCACCGTGAACACATACTGCTGTTATATAAAGTCACCTCCGTGAACACATACTGCTGTTATATAAAGTCACCTCTGTGAACACATACTGCTGTTATATAAAGTCACCTCCGTGAACACATACTGCTGTTATATAAAGTCACCTCCGTGAACACATACTGCTGTTATATAAAGTCACCTCCGTGAACACATACTGCTGTTATATAAAGTCACCTCCGTGAACACATACTGCTGTTATATAAAGTCACCTCCGTGAACACATACTGCTGTTATATAAAGTCACCTCCGTGAACACATACTACTGTTATATAAAGTCACCTCCATGAACACATACTGCTGTTATATAAAGTCACCGTGAACACATACTGCTGTTATATAAAGTCACCTCCGTGAACACATACTGCTGTTATATAAAGTCACCTCCGTGAACACATACTGCTGTTATATAAAGTCACCTCCGTGAACACATACTGCTGTTATATAAAGTCACCTCCGTGAACACATACTGCTGTTCTATAAAGTCACCTCCGTGAACACATACTGCTGTTATATAAAGTCACCTCCGTGAACACATACTGCTGTTCTATAAAGTCACCTCCGTGAACACATACTGCTGTTATATAGAGTCACCTCCGTGAACACATACTGCTGTTATATAAAGTCACCTCCGTGAACACATACTGCTGTTATATAAAGCCCGTGGAAAGTCTCTGTTCAAAGACACGCTGCAAAGCTGCATATTGGAGAAGATCTGTACACAAGAAGCCGCTAGCATAGCTCTGTTAGCATCAGAGCCGGCTACTTCTGGTACTTCCGGCTCGAGTCAGGACAATCTGGTGTGAAGTCCTCTGCGTCTGAAAACTAGAGAATGCACGTCTGGTGGGCGGGGCTTCAGTGTTTCAGCGTTGGCGTCTGAAAGCACCACCAACACTTGAACACTTCTTAACCTCCCCGCCCTCTAGAAGTCCCCTACTGCCCTTTATAAAGTCACTTTACTGCCCTTTATAAAGTCACCTTACATGGTGTGCACCATGTGCACTGTATGTAATTGTAACTCTATTTTTATTCCTTAGAAGTGTTTTTTTATTCTTTTTATTTTATTTTATTATCTCTTTCTGACTGTTGCACTGAGCCAAAGCTGTTTCCAAGTCTGTGACCTCCTGTTACTTACGGCAATAAAAATGATTCTGATTCTGATGAGGTCTAAGCTCTGAAGTCTAAAGTGTCAGAGCTGGTCCTCAGGGACCTCCTTCCTCTGGACCTCAGGGACCTCCTTTCTCTGGTCCTCAGAGACCTTCTTCCTCTGGACCTCAGGGACCTCCTTTCTCTGGTCCTCAGAGACCTTCTTCCTCTGGACCTCAGGGACCTCCTTTCTCTGGTCCTCAGAGACCTTCTTCCTCTGGACCTCAGGGACCTCCTTCCTCTGGACCTCAGGGACCTCCTCCCTCTGGACCTCAGGGACCTCCTTTCTCTGGTCCTCAGGGACCTCATTCCTCTGGTCCTCAGGGATCTCCTTTCTCTTGTCCTCAGGGACCTCCTTCCTCTTGTCCTCAGGGACCTCCTTCCTCTTGTCCTCAGGGACCTCCTTCCTCTTGTCCTCAGGGACCTCTTTCCTCTTGTCCTCAGGGACCTCCATCCTCTGGTCCTCAGGGACCTCCTTCCTCTGGACACTGCAGAGCAAAGTGAGCAGAAGCTTTGATCAGAGCTGTTATGCTCAAGGACACAACAACAGCAGACTGTGGGGGTAGGTGGAGAAGGTCTCGTGGGGGAATTAAACCCTTAAGACTCTAAGGCCAACGCTTTACCAACTGAGCTACTGTTGGAAAGGACGTTTAAGGTGGTCTGTTGCAGATGTGTAGAGTGTTTAAGGTGGTCTGTTGCAGATGTGTAGAGTGTTTAAGGTGGTCTGTTGCAGATGTGTAGAGTGTTTAAGGTGGTCTGTTGCAGATGTGTAGAGTGTTTAAGGTGGTCTGTTGCAGATGTGTAGAGTGTTTAAGGTGGTCTGTTGCAGATGTGTAGAGTGTTTAAGGTGGTCTGTTGCAGATGTGTAGAGTGCTTAAGGTGGTCTGTTGCAGATGTGTAGAGTGTTTAAGGTGGTCTGTTGCAGATGTGTAGAGTGTTTAAGGTGGTCTGTTGCAGATGTAGAGTGCTTAAGGTAGTCTGTTGCAGATGTTTACTGTTTAAGGTGGTCTGTTGCAGATGTGTAGAGTGCTTAAGGTGGTCTGTTGCAGATGTTTACTGTTTAAGGTGGTCTGTTGCAGATGTGTAGAGTGTTTAAGGTGGTCTGTTGCAGATGTTTACTGTTGAAGGTGGTCTGTTGCAGATGTGTAGAGTGTTTAAGGTGGTCTGTTGCAGATGTGTAGAGTGTTTAAGGTGGTCTGTTGCAGATGTAGAGTGCTTAAGGTAGTCTGTTGCAGATGTTTACTATTTAAGGTGGTCTGTTGCAGATGTGTAGAGCGCTTAAGGTGGTCTGTTGCAGATGTTTACTGTTTAAGGTGGTCTGTTGCAGATGTTTACTGTTTAAGGTGGTCTGTTGCAGATGTGTAGAGTGTTTAAGGTGGTCTGTTGCAGATGTTTACTGTTTAAGGTGGTCTGTTGCAGATGTGGATGAGTGCTCGGGGGCCTCTCACAGATGTGGACCAGGGCAGATGTGCAGAAACACTCTGGGATCCTTCGTGTGTGAGCGGAGTCTGAGCTGTGGCCCGGGACACCAGCTCCACAGGGGGCGCTGCGAGGGTGAGGATGAACTCATGATGTCACCGCAACAACTGAACAAACACACAACTTCACAAACACACAACTGAACAAACACACAACTTCACAAACACATAACTGCACAAACACACAACTTCACAAACACACAACTGAACAAACACACAATTGAACAAACACACAACTGAACAAACACACAACTGCACAAAGACACAACTGAACAAACACACAACTTCACAAACAAACAACTGAACAAACAAATAACTGCACAAACACACAACTGAACAAACACACAACTGCACAAACACACAACTGCACAAACACACAACTGAACAAACACACAACTGCACAAACACACAACTGCACAAACACAAAACTGCACAAACACACAACTGCACAAACACACAACTGAACAAACACACAACTTCACAAACACACAACTGAACAAACACACAACTGCACAATCACAACTGAACAAACACACAACTTCACAAACACACAACTGAACAAACACACAACTGCACAAACACACAACTGAACAAACACACAACTGCACAAACACACAACTGCACAAACACACAACTGCACAAACACACAACTGAACAAACACACAACTGCACAAACACACAACTGCACAAACACACGACTGCACAAACACACAACTGAACAAACACACAACTTCACAAACACAAAACTGAACAAACACACAACTGCACAAACACAACTGAACAAACACACAACTTCACAAACACACAACTGAACAAACACACAACTGCACAAACACACAACTGAACAAACACACAACTTCACAAACACACAACTTCACAAACACACAACTGAACAAACACACAACTTCACAAACACACAACTGAACAAACACACAACTGAACAAACACACAACGTCACGAACACACAACTTCACAAACACACAACTGCACAAACACACAACTGAACAAACACACAACTACACAAACTCACAACTACACAAACACACAACTGCACAAACACACAACTGCACAAACACACAACTTCACAAACACACAAATGCACAAACACACAACTGCACAAACACACAACTGAACAAACACACAACTTCACAAACACACAACTGAACAAACACACAACGTCACGAACACACAACTTCACAAACACACAACTGCACAAACACACAACTGAACAAACACACAACTGCACAAACACACAACTGCACAACACACAACTGAACAAACTCACAACTACACAAACACACAACTTCACAAACACACAACTGCACAAACACACAACTGCACAAACACACAACTTCACAAACACACAAATGCACAAACAAACAAATGCAGAAACACACAACTTCACGAACACACAACTTCACGAACACACAACTGCACAAACACACAACTGCACAAACACACAACTGCACAAACACACAACTTCACAAACACACAAATGCACAAACAAACAAATGCACAAACACACAACTTCACGAACACACAACTTCACGAACACACAACTGCACAAACACACAACTGCACAAACACACAACTTCACAAACACACAAATGCACAAACACACAACTTCACGAACACACAACTGCACAAACACACAACTGCACAAACACACAACTGAACAAACACACAACTGCACAAACACAACTGAACAAACACACAACTTCACAAACACACAACTGAACAAACACACAACTTCACAAACACACAACTTCACAAACACACAACTGAACAAACAAATAACTGCACAAACACACAACTGAACAAACACACAACTGCACAAACACACAACTGCACAAACACACAACTGAACAAACACACAACTGCACAAACACACAACTGCACAAACACACAACTGCACAAACACACAACTGCACAAACACACAACTGCACAAACACACAACTTCACAAACACACAACTGAACAAACACACAACTGCACAAACACACAACTGCACAAACACACAACTGAACAAACACACAACTGCACAAACACACAACTGAACAAACACACAACTGCACAAACACAACTGAACAAACACACAACTTCACAAACACACAACTGAACAAACACACAACTTCACAAACACACAACTTCACAAACACACAACTGAACAAACAAATAACTGCACAAACACACAACTGAACAAACACACAACTGCACAAACACACAACTGCACAAACACACAACTGAACAAACACACAACTGCACAAACACACAACTTCACAAACACACAACTGCACAAACACACAACTGCACAAACACACAACTGAACAAACACACAACTTCACAAACACACAACTGAACAAACACACAACTGCACAATCACAACTGAACAAACACACAACTTCACAAACACACAACTGAACAAACACACAACTGAACAAACACACAACGTCACGAACACAACTGAACAAACACACAACTGCACAAACACACAACTGAACAAACACACAACTACACAAACTCACAACTACACAAACACACAACTTCACAAACACACAACTGCACAAACACACAACTGCACAAACACACAACTTCACAAACACACAAATGCACAAACAAACAAATGCACAAACACACAACTTCACAAACACACAAATGCACAAACAAAAAAATGCACAAACACACAACTTCACGAACACACAACTTCACGAACACACAACTGCACAAACACACAACTGCACAAACACACAACTGCACAAACACACAACTTCACAAACACACAAATGCACAAACAAACAAATGCACAAACACACAACTTCACGAACACACAACTTCACGAACACACAGCTGCACAAACACACAACTGCACAAACACACAACTTCACAAACACACAAATGCACAAACAAACAAATGCACAAACACACAACTTCACGAACACACAACTGCACAAACACACAACTGAACAAACACACAACTGAACAAACACACAACTGCACAAACACACAACTGCACAAACACACAACTGAACAAACACACAACTGCACAAACACACAACTGCACAAACACACAACTGAACAAACACACAACTGAACAAACACACAACTGCACAATCACAACTGAACAAACACACAACTGCACAAACACACAACTGCACAAACACACAACTGCACAAACACACAACTGCACAAACACACAACTTCACAAACACACAAATGCACAAACAAACAAATGCAGAAACACACAACTTCACGAACACACAACTTCACGAACACACAACTGCACAAACACACAACTTCACGAACACACAACTGCACAAACACACAACTGCACAAACACACAACTGAACAAACACACAACTGAACAAACACACAACTTCTCGACAACAGGGCTGTTCTGACAAACAGGATTATGTTTTTAAAGGTGTCTTTCTTAAACAGTTTATAACCTCTTCTTCGCACCTGAACGTATTCTCAGGTTATTGTCTGGAATTATTACATATTTATTCTCACAAAAAGGGCTTGAATTGGGTCAATAACTTCATTTCTGATAAAAAACAATATTTGACCATAAACAAAGCCTTGTTGTGGCGCAGGAGCCTCAGAGACCGTTTCTACAGACCTCACCTTTAAAACCAACAAAACTCAGATTAAAACAACTTTACTCAGATTAAAACAACTTTACTCAGATTAAAACCAACAAAACTCAGATTAAAACAACTTTACCATCCATCCATCCATTTTCTTCCGCTTTATCCGTTGTCGGGTCGCGGGGGCAGCAGTCTAAGCAGAGACGCCCAGACTTCCCTATCCACACACACCTCCTCCAGCTCGTCCGGGGGGACCCCAAGGCGTTCCCAGGCCAGCTGAGAGACATAGTCCCTCCAGCGTGTCCTGGGTCTTCCCCGGGGCCTCCTCCCGGTGGGACGTGCCCGGAACACCTCCCCAGGGATGCGTCCAGGAGGCATCCGGAACAGATGCCCGAGCCACCTCAACTGGTTCCTCTCGACGTGGAGAAGCAGTGGCTCTACTCCGAGCTCCTCCCGTGTGACTGAGCTCCCCACCCTATCTCTAAGGGAGCGCCCAGCCACTCTGCGGAGGAAGCTCATTTCGACCGCTTGTATCCGCGATCTCGTTCTTTCGGTCATTACCCAAAGCTCATGACCATAGGTGAGGGAGGGAACGAAGATTGACCGGTAAATTGAGAGCTTTGCCTTTCGGCTCAGCTCCCTCTTTACCACAACGGTCCGATACAGCTCTGACTGCAGACGCTGCTCCCTCTTTACCACAACGGTCCGATACAGCGACCGCATCACTGCGCACGCTGCACCGATCCGCCTGTCAATCTCACGCTCCATTCTTCCCTCACTCGTGAACAAGACCCCGAGATACTTGAACTCCTCCACTTGAGGAAGGACCTCTCCACCCACCTGTAGAGAGCAAGGCACCTTTTTCCGGTCGAGCACCATGGCCTCAGATTTGGAGGTGCCGATTCTCATCCCAGCCGCTTCACACTCGGCTGCAAACCGTCCCAGTGCATGCTGCAGGTCCTGGTTCGTTGGAGCCAACAGGACAACATCGTCCGCAAACAGCAGAGATGAAATCCTGTGGTCTCCGAACCGGACCCCCTCCGACCCCTGGCTGCGCCTAGAGAATTCTGTCCATAAATACAGTGAACAGAACCGGTGACAAAGGGCAGCCCTGTCGGAGGCCAACATTCACCGGGAACAGGTCTGACTTACTGCCGGCAATGCGAACACAGCTCTGGCTCCGGTCATACAGGGATCGGATGGCCCTCAGCAGAGGACCCCGACCCCGTACTCCCGGAGAACCCCCCAAAGGACACCCCGGGGAACACAGTCGAACGCCTTCTCCAAATCCACAAAGCACATGTGGACAGGTTGGGCGAACTCCCATGAACCCTCGAGTATCCGATGGAGAGTATAGAGTTGGTCCAGTGTTCCGCGACCGGGACGAAAACCACACTGCTCCTCCTGAATCCGAGATTCGACCATCGGCCGTAGCCTCCTCTCCAGTACCTTGGAGTAGACCTTACCAGGGAGGCTGAGGAGTGTGATCCCACGATAATTGGAACACACCCTCCGGTCCCCCTTCTTGTAGAGAGGGACCACCACCCCAGTCTGCCACTCCATTGGCACAACTTTACTCAGATTAAAACAACTTTACTCAGATTAAAACAACTTTACTCAGATTAAAACAACTTTACTCAGATTAAAACAACTTTACTCAGATTAAAACAACTTTACTCAGATTAAAACAACTTTACTCAACCGTCTTTTGTCTTAAATGTTATCTTTATTTTCCTCCAGTTTAAAGTGAAACATAAACAGGACTCAGAGACAGTCCCGGTGCAGAGTCAGACCCAGACCCAGACTCAGAGACAGTCCCGGTGCAGAGTCAGACCCAGACCCAGACTCAGACCCAGACCCAGACTCAGAGACAGTCCCGGTGCAGAGTCAGACCCAGACCCAGACTCAGAGACAGTCCCGGTGCAGAGTCAGACCCAGACCCAGACTCAGAGACAGTCTCGGTGCAGAGTCAGACCCAGACCCAGACTCAGAGACAGTCTCGGTGCAGAGACCTCTGTGGGAGGGACTCCACATGCTGCGATCTGATTGGCTGCTTCCAACATCAATCTGTGATATTTTAACACAACATCAGTAAAATAACTGTCATTTGTTCTGGAGACTTCTTTATGAGCCTCTGCTTCAGCCAGAGTCAGACCCAGACTCAGAGTCAGACCCAGACTCAGAGTCAGACCCAGACTCAGAGTCAGACCCAGACTCAGAGCAGACCCAGACTCAGAGTCAGACCCAGACTCAGAGTCAGACCCAGACTCAGAGTCAGACCCAGACTCAGAGTCAGACCCAGACTCAGAGTCAGGCCCAGAGTCAGACCCAGACGCAGAGTCAGACCCAGAGTCAGACCCAGACTCAGAGTCAGGCCCAGAGTCAGACCCAGACTCAGAGTCAGACCCAGAGTCAGACCCAGACTCAGAGTCAGGCCCAGAGTCAGACCCAGACTCAGAGTCAGACCCAGACTCAGAGCCAGAGCCAGACTCAGAGTCAGACCCAGACTCAGAGCCAGAGCCAGACTCAGAGTCAGACCCAGAGTCAGACCCAGACTCAGAGTCAGACCCAGAGTCAGACCCAGACTCAGAGTCAGAGCCCAGAGTCAGACCCAGAGTCAGACCCAGAGTCAGACCCAGGCCCAGAGTCAGACCCAGACTCAGAGTCAGACCCAGACTCAGAGTCAGACCCAGACTCAGAGTCAGACCCAGACTCAGACCCAGACTCAGACCCAGACTCAGCGTCAGAGTCAGACCCAGGCCCAGAGTCAGACCCAGACTCAGACCCAGACTCAGAGTCAGACCCAGACCCAGACTCAGAGTCAGACCCAGACTCAGAGTCAGACCCAGACTCAGAGTCAGACCCAGACTCAGAGTCAGACCCAGACCCAGAGTCAGACCCAGACCCAGAGTCAGAGCCAGACCCAGGCCCAGAGTCAGACCCAGGCCCAGAGTCAGACCCAGGCCCAGAGTCAGACCCAGGCCCAGAGTCAGACCCAGGCCCAGAGTCAGACCCAGAGAGTCAGACCCAGAGCCAGAGTCAGACCCAGAGCCAGAGTCAGACCCAGAGTCAGAGTCAGACCCAGACTCAGAGTCAGAGCCAGGCCCAGAGTCAGACCCAGGCCCAGAGTCAGACCCAGAGTCAGAGTCAGACCAGACTCAGAGTCAGAGTCAGACCGACTCAGAGTCAGACCCAGGCCCAGAGTCAGACCCAGGCCCAGAGTCAGACCCAGGCCCAGAGTCAGACCCAGAGTCAGAGTCAGACCCAGACTCAGAGTCAGAGTCAGACCCAGACTCAGAGTCAGACCCAGGCCCAGAGTCAGACCCAGAGTCAGAGTCAGACCCAGACTCAGAGTCAGAGTCAGACCCAGACTCAGAGTCAGAGCCAGAGCCAGGCCCAGAGTCAGACCCAGAGTCAGACCCAGGCCCAGAGTCAGACCCAGACTCAGAGTCAGACCCAGACTCAGAGTCAGACCCAGACTCAGAGTCAGACCCAGACTCAGAGTCAGAGCCAGACCCAGGCCCAGAGTCAGAGCCAGACTCAGAGTCAGACCCAGACTCAGAGTCAGACCCAGACTCAGAGTCAGACCCAGACTCAGAGTCAGACCCAGACTCAGAGTCAGACCCAGAGTCAGACCCAGACTCAGAGTCAGACCCAGACTCAGAGTCAGACCCAGACTCAGAGTCAGACCCAGACTCAGACCCAGACTCAGAGTCAGACCCAGGCCCAGAGTCAGACCCAGAGTCAGACCCAGACTCAGAGTCAGAGCCAGACCCAGGCCCAGAGTCAGACCCAGGCCCAGAGTCAGACCCAGACCCAGGCCCAGAGTCAGACCCAGAGTCAGACCCAGAGTCAGACCCAGACCCAGAGTCAGACCCAGAGTCAGACCCAGACCCAGAGTCAGACCCAGAGTCAGACCCAGGCCCAGAGTCAGACCCAGGCCCAGAGTCAGAGCCAGGCCCAGAGTCAGACCCAGAGCCAGACCCAGACTCAGAGGCAGAGCCAGGCCCAGAGTCAGACCCAGGCCCAGAGTCAGACCCAGGCCCAGAGTCAGACCCAGGCCCAGACCCAGAGTCAGACCCAGACTCAGAGTCAGACCCAGAGTCAGACCCAGACCCAGAGTCAGACCCAGAGTCAGACCCAGAGTCAGACCCAGACCCAGAGTCAGACCCAGACCCAGAGTCAGACCCAGACCCAGAGTCAGAGCCAGGCCCAGAGTCAGACCCAGACCCAGAGTCAGAGCCAGAGCCAGGCCCAGACCCAGAGCCAGAGCCAGGCCCAGAGTCAGAGCCAGAGCCAGGCCCAGAGTCAGAGCCAGAGCCAGGCCCAGAGTCAGAGCCAGGCCCAGAGTCAGAGCCAGAGCCAGGCCCAGAGTCAGAGCCAGGCCCAGAGTCAGAGCCAGAGCCAGGCCCAGAGTCAGAGCCAGGCCCAGAGTCAAAGCCAGACCCAGGCCCAAAGCCAGAGCCAGGCCCAGGCCCAGAGCCAGAGCCAGGCCCAGAGCCAGAGCCAGGCCCAGACTCAGAGTCAGACCCAGACCCAGAGTCAGAGTGAGTCTGTGATGACTGTAATGACAGAGAAAGTCACAATTATCTTCAACAATGTGGAAAAAGCAATATACAGTAATTCTTTGGATACGACAAATCAACCCTTCAAGGCGAGCGCGGCGCCCGGGAGCATGGCGGCCGGGACGCGGCGCCCGGGACGCGGCGCCCGGGACGCAGCGCCATTTATCTCAAAAGACCAGATATGAACTCTGAGAAATTGGCGAGAAAAAAAGTGGCAAGACAAGTTTTCCAATAACCCTCCATCCGTCCCAGATTCAATAGCTGTCAAATTACACGTTTTCAGAGTTAATTGCGGAGTTGGATGCAGTGGATTCTCTGCTCCTCATTTTGACAGGAAGAAGGACTGATGGCCCAATACTGTTCACAGCCTGCGCCACAGTGCCCCCTGCTGGACGACTCAAGCACTACACTGCACCCAGTGGGGAAAATAAGTCAGAAATTGCTCAAATATGAGTCAGAGTGAAATCCTAACGTTCTGCAGACATGAGTCTGGTCTAAATAATGTGTTCATTCAGAGTTAACACATTTACATTTAATATTCAAAAATAAAAAAACCTGTTTTTTATTTTTACAGGAAAGATTGTTTGAATTGCACAAAGTTCTAAAAGAAGCAAACGTAGGAAAGCTCAGACAGATGTGACACAGACTTGGACTTATAATGTAAGGCAAGTTTATTTGTATAGCACTGTTCATACACGAGGCAACACAAAGTGCTGAACAAATCAATCACAGTAAATCATAAATAAATATAAAACAATGAAACCCCTCAGTTGTTTTTTTTTTTTTTTTTGTTTTTTTTTTTTTAATTCTTTATTTGAATTGGGACAGTGCACATTAATCAACATGTGTTTTTTCAACATGTAAATGCGCCGGAGTTAGCCATATAGGCTAATTTTCATCCGTAGTCCCATGGCAGGTTGATGTCAAGATAGGTAGTATAGGACATACAACAGGCACAAACATACAGCAGAAACACCATCACAGAGGCATAAAAAGACAGTGAAAGAAGAATACAACATATAGTTAAAAATGCAAGGAATATATAAGAATTTGTTCAACTAAAAAATCAGAAAGGGACAATACACACAACACCATAATCTTCCACACAGCAAGACATGTATCAGTGTTTGGTGACTTTAGTCCATGTTGTGTTCACATGTCTGATTGTCCAAAAGCCACTTCTTCACAGAGTTCCTAAAAATGTGAAATGAGGTCAGGTTCCTCAATTCTGTTGGAATCAAGTTCCAGGAATGTGCTGCGCGTACTGAGTAGGCAGATTGTCCAAATGAAGTCTTTCTAAATGGGATTCTACAGTCTCCTCTGCTTGATGAGCGCGTGTTTTTATTTACATTCAGCTGTATAAACTCCTGTAATGGAGGCGGTGCAAGTCCATTTAGGGTTTTATAGACCATAATTACATCAGAGTACATTATCAACTGATCCCACTTTAAGAAATTATGTTTGGTAAAAACTTTACAGTGGTGATATGAATTATTCTTTTTGTCTAATGTTTTTACTGTCTGCTTATAAAGTCTTTCTATGGGCAACAGTGTAGTCTTGTTGGCCTGAGACCAACTCGTCATACAGTAATTAATATGCGAGAGAATTGTGGCGTTTAGGTATAATTTTGAAACATCAGTTGTTAAGTTATTTCTAATGTGTTTAAAATTCACTAAATTGAATTTAATTTTGTTCCTCAATTTCTTAACATGTTTTTTAAATGATAATTGAGAATCCATGGTGACACCTAAATACTTGTACTCTTGCACCACTTGTAGTGCTTGCCCATTCACCAAAACTATTGGATCGCTCTCTTTAGTTGCCGACTTAGAGAAGAACATACACATAGTTTTATCAGTATTTAAGTGTAATTTTGAATTTTTTAACCAGTCACAGACTGACACCATTACAGATGACAGCTTCTCTGCCGCCAGCTGTTTCGTTTTTGCGTGAACATAAATGATGGTGTCGTCAGCATATAACTGACATGATGCTTCAGAACATACATCAGGTAAATCATTGATAAATAAACTGAAGAGTAAAGGGCCAAGGGTTGAGCCCTGGGGCACACCTATAGAGTTATACATTACTTCAGATGTTTCGTTATTAACCCTGACGCACTGTTTCCTGTCTTTTAAGTATGATGCCACCCATTGTAGCACCTTAGGTGAAAAGTTAAATTTAGATAATTTAGCAATTAATATGTCTGAGTTGACAGTATCAAAGGCTTTTCTTAAGTCGAGGTAGCTGGCCCCAACTATACCCCCTCTATCCAATTTTGATTTGATATTCTCTGTAAGATAAATGTTTGCAGTATCGGTAGAATTAAATTTACGAAATCCAAATTGCATTTGATGCAACTTAAATGGTGAATGATTTAAATGAGAAATGATTTGCTCTGAGACACATTTTTCCAATACTTTTGATAATGTCGGGAGAATGCTTATTGGTCTATAATTGTTTATATTTGTGTGATCCCCTGATTTAAAGATGGGTGTGATTACAGCGGTTTTCCAGGCAGTGGGAAATAATCCTTCAGTGATTGACCAGTTTATTAATTTACATAAGGATGGGATTAATGTTACCTTATTTGATTTTAAAAACAAGGTATCAATATCATAGATATCCTTTGCCCTTGAGGACTTAATAGATGAGATGATTGTTTCTATCTTTGACTGAGTTACTTCTGTGAATGTCAATACGGGAGCATCAATTTTTAGAGGTTCGACTTTAAAATTAGATTGGTTATGAGTTGTCAATTTTTGTATGGATGCAACAAAATGATTATTAAGAGCATTGGCAACTACACTTGCATCCTCATAGACAGTTTCCTCTATTTTCAATTTTATTGGTTTATTTTCTTTAGCATTTTTTCCTGTTAATTTGTTTAAATTCTGCCATATTTCCTTTGCATTCCCCTTTGAATTATTTATAACATTGATGAAAAAGGAAGCTTTTGTATTTCTTATCAGTTTTGTGACTTTATTTCTTAGAGACGTAAACAATCGCCTATCATTATCTTTCTTACTTTTAAGAGCCATTTTGAGAGCATGATCCCTTTGTTTCATAAGAGTCCAAATATCTCCATTTATCCAGGGCAGATTATTTCCCTTTCCTCGTTTGCATGTGATTTTCTTCCTGAAGCCATTTATAATTGTTTTAAGTCGATTCATAAAGACACTGCAGCTACTTTCTAGACTATCTTCCTGAACATACTGTGACCAGTCAGTTTCCCTAATTGTTTGTTCAAGCAAAGGTAACTGTTTTTTAGGAATTTTTAGCTGTTCTCGTTTCATATTAGACAATGCATTTATTTTAGTTTTAACTTTCCTTATAAACAGTATCATGTTATGATCTGATAATCCAGTTGTTAAATTGTAGCTCTTCTTGATCCGATCCGGCCTATTAGTAAGAATTAGGTCAATGAGTGTTTCAGATGTATTGGTGATTCTGGTTGGTCCCTCAATGATTTGGTTAATCATTGAGGTTTTCACAGCTACTGTGTTTAACCTGGTTCTAAACATCATCAGAGAAGAGGCCTGTCTCACATATTCAGGAAGATTGTTCCAGATTTGTATCATCAAAACGTCTTGTTGTTGTCGTTACTGCAAACAGTGATGCTCAAATTTGACTAAATGTGTCTTAACATGAGCACATTCTGACTGTGCCTTAAAACTAGATTCTCCAATGGGACCAAACAAAATGATCTTGTTTTAAACAGATACAGAAGTGTCTTCTTTGGAATGAGGAAACAAAGAAACAGTTCTAGAAATCAGACTAAATGTCTTTGTCCCGTTCAGGTTGTTTCAGATTCACCTCATGTTGTAAAATGTTTTGCAGTGTAACTGTAGAAGCAGCTCATAGTGATGCTGTGTATTGACTGATGTGTGTTTCAGACATTGATGAGTGTGAGTCTCACACACACACCTGCAGAGGGGCCTCTGTGTGTGAGAACACCCCCGGATCCTTCCGCTGTCGCCCCAAACACAAGTGTGTCTCTGGGTTCACACAAGACGCTCACGGAAACTGCATCGGTGAGTCTCACACTGAGCACATCCTCCCTGGGTTTAAAATGAGGTATTACATTTTCTGACCTTGTTTGAAGGTTTTAGGGAGAGAGACTGTAGGTGACAGATGACGCTCTCTCTTTGTTTCTGGGGACCAAAGACAATCATTTCAGTTTTGTCTGCGTTTAGCTGAAGGAAGTTGTTTTGCATCCACTCACTGATCTGTTGGATACAGTGAAGGAGTGAGTCCACTGGTCCATGTTCTCCTGCAGTCAGTGAGACATAGATCTGAGTGTCGTCTGCATAGTTATGATAGGACACTTTGTTTCTGCGTATTAACTGACCTAACGGCAGCATGTAGAGATTGAACAGAAGAGGTCCCAGGATCGACCCCTGTGGGACTCCACAGGTCAGGGCCATATGATCTGAGACACAGTTTCCAATCTCCACAAAGTACTTCCTGTCTTCAAGGTAAGACCTAAACCAACTTAGGGCGGAGCCAGCGACTCCAACCCAGTCCTCTAGTCTCTGTAAGAGGACCACCCAGTCCTGTAGTCTCTGTGAGGACCACCCAGTCCTCTAGTCTCTGTAAGGACCACCCAGTCCTCTAGTCTCTGTGAGGACCACCCAGTCCTGTAGTCTCTGTGAGGACCACCCAGTCCTCTAGTCTCTGTAAGGACCACCCAGTCCTCTAGTCTCTGTGAGGACCACCCAGTCCTCTAGTCTCTGTAAGGACCACCCAGTCCTCTAGTCTCTGTGAGGACCACCCAGTCCTGTAGTCTCTGTGAGGACCACCCAGTCCTCTAGTCTCTGTGAGGACCACCCAGTCCTGTAGTCTCTGTGAGGACCACCCAGTCCTGTAGTCTCTGTGAGGACCACCCAGTCGTCCAGTCTCTGTGACTCAGATCTAATAAGATTAGGAATGAGACTTTGCCAGTGTCAGTGTGTGGATATCGTTTGTTGTTACCTTGATGAGAGCATTCTCAGTCTGTGGTGGGGTCTGAAGCTGGACTGAAACATATCAACAAAAGAAAGTTGCATGGTCAGCATTCATCATGTTAATTACTGTTATTGTGCAGATATTAACGAGTGCAGCGCTGGGACAGACGCCGGGACAGGACCGTGTGCTCCCGGCTCCAGCTGCATCAACACCGTGGGATCGTTCCACTGTCAGAGGAAGAGCATCACCTGCAGCCGTGGTTACCATGCCAACGCCCAGGGAGACGCATGTGACGGTGAGGAGGATAAATAACAAAAAACTGTGTGTTTTAGAGCTGGGTTTGTTCCACTTCCTCCTCCACCACATGTTTAACTGAGCCGAAAAACAAATGTAATTTGAGAAAGATAGATAGTTGTTGTATAGTATAGTATAGTATAGTTTAGTGTTAGTGTAGTATAGTTGTAGTTAGTCTAGTTATAGTTAGTATAGTATAGTAGTAGTGTAGATATAGTGATGTATTGTTAAGTTAGAGTATAGTGTTGTATAGTATAGGTATTGTAAAGTAGAGTATAGTGTAGTATAGTATAGTATAGTCTAGTGTAGGGTAGTGTAGTTAGTTAGTGTAGTTAGTATAGTATTGTGTTGTATAGTTATAGTATAGGATAGTATAGTATAGTATATGTAGAGTATAGTTTAGTATTGTTTGTATAGTAAAGTAGAGTATAGTTGTAGTATAGTTATAGTATTGTATAGTGTTAGTATAGTATAGTATAGTACAGTGTAGTTATAGTATAGTGTATAGTATAGTGTAGTGTTAGTATAGTATAGTACAGTGTAGTATTAGTTTGTATAGTGTAGTGTAGTTTAGTTAAGTTATAGTGTAGTATAGTATAGTTACTCACTACACTTACATAATATACTTTTACTAACACTGTACTATACTATACTACACTACACTATACTATACGTATACTTTACAACACTGTACTATACTATACTATAACTACACTTTTACTATACTATACTATACTACACTATACTGCTACCTTTACTATTCTAAACTAGATTACACTATTACTCTACTTTTACTATACTATACTATACTATTACTATACTATACTTCACTATACTATACTATATACACTATACTATACTACAATACACTACACTAGACTATACTTGATACTATACGACATATACTCTACTTTACGTATACTATACTATACTACACTATTACTCTACTTTACTATACCTATACTATTTACTACACTACAATTACGTTACTATACATACTAGACTAGACTACACTTATTATACACTACACATACATATACTATACCTATATTACAACACTATACTACATACACTACCACTTTTCTACACTATACTATACTAGAACTATACTCTACTTTACTATACTATACTTATACTAAACTATACTTCTACTTTACTCTTACTATACTATACTTACACTATACTCTCTTTACTATACTTACATTACTACACTTTACTACATACACTACTATACTACACTACACTACACTATACTATTCTTATACTAACTATACTACAATACACTTCACTTACTAACATTCCCTCATACTAACTACACATTACTAAACATCACTTATACTAGACTATAGTAACTATACTATTATACTCTTTGAAATTCTTTTTTGATTAGGGAATTTTATTACACTCTGGAGCCGCCATTTTTCACTGCTCCATTTAAACCGATGTAATATGAGTTAATTACCCGCTGACATGTTTTGTTTTGTTTGGTTTGTCATCTCTTTTACTAAGTGCTGAATACTGGTGAATTTAACTTGAAAAAAACAGATGAAAGGTTAAATGCCCCCCCCCCCCCCCCCCCCCCCCCCCCCCCCCCCCCCCCCCCCCCCCCCCCCCCCCCCCCCCCCCTAACTCCTGCTAACTAAACAGTTGCGTTGCTATGGAAAACTTAGCAGCGGCTCTTATCTGGGAGATAAAACTACTCAAATGTAAAACATAAAAGATTAAAATAATGACCCAAGGATCTATCATGATCGTTAAAATATAAAAATGTGGTTTTATTTGCAGTGTAACTCGGCCTATCCTCCAGGTAAGAAGGATACAAGTATAACTTATACAAGAATTATAAATATGACTCTTTAATTGTGTGTTTTTAGGATTCAAATATATTTCAAGTTGTCTGTGGGAGGGCGGGAGCTGAATGGACTCCAAAAGGTTCTAATTTACTTCTTTGTTTTTGTTTAACATGTTAACGTTTTTAGATATATGTTTTTGCCTAATGGAAGTTTTTATGTCGTTCAAAAAAAAATTCAAACAGTTTTCTATCGGACAAAGCAGATTAAGTTAAAGATGGGGTGCCAGATTCTCAGAACCACAAGATATTATCCTTCATTTTCTTCACCTGTAATCCATTTCTGGGTCGGGGGGGGCGGGTGGCAGTCAGAGCTGCACCCAGTCCACAGAGCCCAGCCCCCTCACTGATCCTCTGCAGGGTGCTGGAGTCACCAGGGGCCTTGATCTTTCAGCAGGGTTCAGGCATGAGTGGGGTTAAGTGCTTGCCCAAGGACACAACGGCCAGACCAGTCATCAGTGGTCCCAAGATTCTATATCAATCAATAAACCAATATGCATTAAAAAGTAAAAGTGGCTGTTATAGAAAGTGTCCTGGAGTCCAGCGATGGCGTTTGTTGTAGGGTTAAGCCTAAAGACAGACAAATCTTTTTTCAGAAATGTGACAGATAAGTCTCCGTCGTTCATGCACCAATGGCAACCCCATCACACCAGTATTTTATCACCACTGTGTATGGAGTGGAGGAATGACACTGTCCAACCCTGTCCAAACAAGGCTATAATAAACAATATTAATAATAATGATAATGATAATAATAATTATAATAATAATCATCATAATAATAATGATTGATTAAATCATTACTATTGTTATTCTTCATATTTTTAAGATCTTTTTCCAGTATTATATTTGTGCTTTATTAAAAACAGGCGCTCTTCCAGGACTAGACCAACAGTGACGGTGGGTATTTTTAATAAGGTAAATAGTGATTTTAGTTGTTTTTGTTTTGCATGTAGTAGTCTGTAGTAGCAAAAATTATAGACATGGTTTTTTTGCGTGTGAAAAAACAATATCACTCAACACTGTTTTTCTTTTAACTGTGTACCCTTTTGTTTTAATGCGACCTCGAGGTGCCATATAAATAAAATGTTTTATGTTATTAAGATATTTCCAATGTACACACACACAAGCCTAGACCCAACTCTCTTCTGACCCTTCACTCTCTCCTATCGTTTCTAATCTTTATATGTAACTGACATGTTTTTTAGGCCTCTGCTGTTTTTCTTGTGCGTTGTCCTCTTTCATATCGCTGGGTAACACCATATCTCATGTTTTCAGATGAAAATTCTTTTGTCGTATCGGGTTTTGAGGCATGTTTTTCTGGCTTCTCGAGGATGAGAGTGGGCGAGTACCTGTGACTTCTCGGCCGACACTTCCGAACTGGTACATCCGGAGGATTACATGTTCCCGGGGCCAGGAAACCAGTTCAACATGGCCTCAGTGATCGTGGACTGGTACAGTTGGTTCATGTGAGGATGGCCTGAATACCCCACATTCTATACATACATATAAAACTGTCCATTTAATTTTGGCCCTCCGCGGGGCGGTTATCCCTCTCTAAGCTCGGGTCCTCTACCAGAGGCCTGGGAGCTGTGGGTTCTGGCAGTATCTTTGCTGTTCCTTGCACTGCACTTTTCTGGACCCAGATGTCGAGGTTGTTCCAGGGATCCACATCATACGTATCCTCTTCTAGCTTCGGGGTCACTGCCCCGAGTGCACCGATCACCACGGGCCAACTACTGTCACCTTTACCCTTCACAGGCCCTATACAGCTCCTCTCTGGAGACATTGGTATTTCTCAAGATTTTCTGTTCTTTTTCCGGAAAAGATGGCGGCGGTGAAATGGATGCGTTTCCGCTCCTTCTGCTGGGATTTTGCTTGTTTTACCACTTCACGTATGGAGGTACAGCTGTGGGGTGAAAAAGATGTAGATGCAGTTTGCCGCCAGGACCCGCTTCTCAAGTTTCAATTGCATTTTCCTGGGTACAAAAGAGGGTGGTGAGTATACGCTGGCCTTATACCAGCGTTAACCAGACATCCGCATTGAAGATGGTGAACTATCGTCCCATTCCCCTGTATAGGCACATAGCTTCCTTCTTGTCCGTTTTCAAGCGTAGCGGGCGCCGGTGGCTGAGTGGGATAGCTCTCTCGCCTCTCAGCTAAGAAGGTCATGGGTTCGTACCCGGTCGGGACCAGGGCCTTTCTTGAGTTGGAGTTTTGCTTGTTTCCCCATGTCTGCGTAGGTGTCCTCCGGGTACTCCGGTTTCCCTACCACTAAATATATTGTCATTAGTTCTGGCATGTGCCTCCTGTACTGGCCCTACAATCTCTGTGTGAGTGAGAGTACATAATGCCCAAAATTAACAATTGTAACCGCTTTGAGGACTCAGATTGTAGTGAAAGGCGGTATATATAAATAAATATTACTTACTTATTACTTCGCCTTGGAATTGCCTCGTCCACACCTCAACGGACTGTCTCTGCCCTTTGTCCACCACCACGGCTCGTCTCTGCCCTTTGTCCACCACCAGGCCTTGTCCTTCTAACCTTTGTCCACCACCACGGCTGTCCCTCTACCCTTTGTCCACCACCAGCTGTCCTCTGCCCTGTGTCCACACCATGGCTGTCCTCTGCCCTTTGTCCACCACCGGGCTATCCTCTGCCCTTTGTCCAACACACGGCTGTCTCTGCCCTTTGTCAACCACAACGGCTGTCCTCTGCCCTTTGGTCCACCAACTACGGCTGTCCTCTGCCTTGTCCACCACCACGGCTTGTCCTCTGCCCTTTGTCCACACCCGGCTTGTCCTATGACTTTGTCTACACCACGGCTGGTCCTCTGCCCTTTGTACACCACGGCTGTCCTCTGCCCTTTGTCCACACCACGGCTGTCCTCTGCCCTTTGTCCACCACCACGATGTCGGGTTGGTTCATACCTTTCGGTCGGTCTGTATCTGGAAGTCCTCACAGGTTCTTTGCTCATTTTCCACCACCTGTGGAGGGAGTTTCCACTTAGACCTTGGGGTTTCCAGCCATACTCTGCACAGATGGTTCTGTCTCTTTTGCGGCCACTTGGTTTTTGGCGTTCCATGTAGCTCTTCCCAGCCTGCATCTGTGCACCCTGCTTTTTTTGTGTTGGAGTGTCTCAAGTGCCTCTTTGCACAACGACACCTTGGGTGTCTTGTCTGGTGTGGTATTCTGGGCCTACTATCGCTCTGGTGCTCGAGTGCCTGTTCCTGTGCAGCCATGATGAGTGCCTATGTGCTGTCCTGTAGTCCAGCCTTTCTTGCCAATTGGTAGGCTTCTTGACGGATCAGCCACTTCTGTTTATGCTCCGGTGGTACTTGCCGTGTTAGGGGCTTGTTCTCCACATGATGGGCTATCCTCCAGCACATCCTCATCTCGCCTACTGCCTGAGACATTCACTGAGTACGTCATCCGTTTTGGCCTTCCCATGATGTTGTTATGGAGTTTGGATGTTGCGTCCTGGACAGTGGCTCTCACTTCTCACTAGTCCTCGGCCTCCTTCTTTACGGCTTACGTACTAGTCTAGGGTGCTGGATTGGGGATGTAACCCGCTTGCATGGTAAGGCACTTTCGTGTTTTAACATCGTTTGGTCTGAATCTCATCCTTTGGCCTGATTATTCCTGCAGTGTATATGTTCTCTGGCAGGCGTAGCTGTTAATTGCCCGAGCCTTGTGCTTGCCATTTGAGCCGGCTTCTTTAGACCTGCCTTACTCGCTGGTAGGTATTGGCCAGTTGCCGCTTTCTAGTTGCCAGGTCTGTTCGAGGTTGCCATTTGCCTGTGGTTATAAACGAGATTACTTGTAAACTGTCCTAAAGTTTGCTATTGTTCCCTTGGATATCGAGTTGCCGATTTGGGAGTGAGATCCTTCTGGTGGACTACTTGTCTCTGGATTCACCATCCTGCTACATTTCTGTTCTGTCAACCAGGAGTGGTGTTTTGGCTACTCTTGGATGTCTCTACAGGAGCTGGTGTTGGCTCAATCTGGAGTCCCTACCAATGCCTTCTGTGCTGTGCTCATGAATTGTTCCATATGCCCACTTATTTAGCCGCAAGATACTGTACAGAGTTCCATGTTTGTGGAGAGACAAGTTATTGGCCGCGGTAGTTGGAGGGGACTGCTTATGATCAGGGACCGTTCGCCCTTCGGTTAGCATTCTGGTTGAGACCCAACTCTCAGCAGCTGGTTCCATTTGTGTGCGAGCCGCTCTGGAGTGTTGTGAGTGTTCCTTAAGCCAGTAGGCATGGTCCATATCAGGGCTAGGTGCTGTCAGTTTTTCCATACCTGGACTCTTTCCCGGATGTCTGCCTTCTGTGTTGGTAAACTTGAGTTCTGTTCTGGGATGGTGGATGTGCTCCTCTATTCAGGGACACCAGCCATTGGTGCCCTGCTCTGTATGTGCGCATCCTTCTCCCATATGTTCTTCCAGAAATGTTCAGTTTCCAGCTCGGTGGGTCTGCTCCCCTGTTGCTTCCCTGTTGTTACCCTGTTGTTACCATGCCACTGAGCGTACACCTTCGCAGGTTGTGTTGCGAACTGCCTGTTCACCTCTGGCTTCATAATCTCTTTAGTGTACCTCTGTAGGCGGCTGGCCAGTCTGGAGAATTTGTTGGCAGTTTCGAGTGCTTCTGTATGGTTATCTGGCTGTACATTTTCTGGGTACTGGATCTTTTCATTGCACCTTTATGGGCTCTCTGTTAATTGACTCTCTTCTCTCGAGCCACCTTGATCTCAGCCTCCATACCATCTTTTCATGGTGGGTATTGTCCATGGCTTCCCTGGTTGCTCTTTTTTAGCCAAGCATTTAGGATCACTGCTGCTGAAGTGTTAGTTCAGCTCATTGGTTCAGTGATTTGTGGTGGTAGGTATTGCCCTCACGGCTGCATTCACTGTTTTCTTATGAGATCCTTACGTGGTACTTCACACAACCGCTTGTCTCTCTCATCTGTGCCATTGTAGCTGATTTGAGCTTCAGGTCAGTCTGCCTCTTTCAGCAGTTATTGGTTCCATTGGGGCGTTGTGTCTATCTGGTTGGGTGAGTTGCAGTTGTCTCTCTTGCTCTGTGTGTCTCTCTGTCTCTCTTGCTCTGTGTGTCTCTCTGTCTCTCTTGCTCTGTGTGTCTCTCTGTCTCTCTCGCTGTGTGTGTCTCTCTGTCTCTCTTGCTCTGTGTGTCTCTCTGTCTCTCTTGCTCTGTGTGTCTCTCTGTCTCTCTTGCTCTGTGTGTCTCTCTGTCTCTCTCGCTGTGTGTGTCACTCTGTCTCTCTTGCTCTGTGTGTCTCTCTGTCTCTCTCGCTGTGTGTGTCTCTCTGTCTCTCTTGCTCTGTGTGTCTCTCTGTCTCTCTTGCTCTGTGTGTCTCTCTGTCTCTCTCGCTGTGTGTGTCTCTCTGTCTCTCTTGCTCTGTGTGTCTCTCTCTCTCGCTGTGTCTCTCTCTTGCTGTGTGTTTCTCTTTTTCTCTCGCGCTGTGTGTGTGTCTCTTTCTCTCTCTCTCGCTGTGTGTGTCTCTCTGTCTCTCTTGCTCTGTGTGTCTCTCTCTCTCGCTGTGTGTGTCTCTTTCTCTCTCTCTTGCTCTATGTGTGTCTCTCTGTCTCTCTCTCTCTCTGTCTCTCTCTCTCAGGAGGAGGTGGGGAAGAGTGTGATGGCGGAGTTTAACCTGGGCTGTGACGTGGAGCACACGGAGCACGTCTACAGAGTCTACGTCACCACATTCTTAGGCTTTGGAGGAAACATGGCCCGACAGAGATACGAAGACCAGCTCCTCAACACCTCCTCCACCTCCTCCTCCAGGTACCTACAGCACCTCCTCCTCCAGGTATCACCTTCTCCTAACTAGCAGCGCCTATGGGTTGGATGAAGAAAAAGCTCCTCATCCGATCAACACAGAAACAAGATGATTTTGAACAACGCAATTCTATATCATGTGGTGTAAAACAGACAGGGAGAGAGAGACGGAGTGTGAGAGACGGACGGACTGACCGAGAGAGACCAACAGGGACAGACTGAGAGAGAGACAGAGGGTAAGAGACGGACAGAGAGAGACAGTGGGAGAAAGACAGACTGAGAGAGAGACAGAGAGGGAGAGAGAGAGAGACACAGACTGAGAGAGACGGACAGAGAGAGACAGAGTGGGAGAAAGACAGACTGCGAGAGAGACAGAGAGGGAGAGAGAGAGAGACACAGACTGAGAGAGACAGAGTGGGAGAAAGACAGACTGAGAGAGAGACAGAGAGAGAGAGGGAGGGAGAGAGGGAGAGAGAGAGAGACACAGACTGAGAGAGACGGACAGAGAGACGGACGGACGAACGAACAGAGAGAGAGACGGGCGGAGAAAGACACACAGAGAGAGACAGAGACACAAACTCAAACACTCTCTGACCCTACACCTTTCTCGCACTACTCTCTACATGATGTGTTTTTACATTCTTTTAAGCAATCCAGTTTGAACCCGCTTTAAATCATTTTTTAATCCATAAAACCTTTACTGTGAGCTTGCTTCTCCACAAACACTACTCCTCTTCTTCCCCAGTGCTCAGTCCCTGGACCGGACCTTGGACCAGACCCTGGGCCAGTCCCCGGACCGGCCCCTCCCTGACCCCTGTTTGCCTCTGGGGCTGTCGGACTCTGTGCTGCGCGGAAATCGAACCCTGCACCTGCGCGGCCTGGGACACTGGAGCCGTTGTCAGGAGGCGGTGCGGCCCTTCCTGGGGTTGCACAACGGCACAATGTCACTGGGAGGAGTCTACCGGGTCAGTGTGACATCACCACAGCCACTGGGAGCAGCCCGGGCTTTAGCTTTAGCTTGATGTGTGCTTTTGAAAACATAAACAGATGGAACGTCCAGACTTATAGTAGCAATATGTAAGATTTTCATGTCAAGTCACCATTAAAGGGCCCTAATCTGTCATCATTAAAGGGCCCTGATCTGTCGTCATTAAAGGGCCCTAATCTGTCGTCATTAAAGGGCCCTAATCTGTCATCATTAAAGGGCCCTAATCTGTCATCATTAAAGGGCCCTAATCTGTCGTCATTAAAGGGCCCTAATCTGTCATCATTAAAGGGCCCTAATCTGTCATCATTAAAGGTCCCTAATCTGTCATCATTAAAGGGCCCTAATCTGTCATCCTTAAAGGGCCCTAATCTGTCATCATTAAAAGGCCCTAATCTGTCATTATTAAAGGGCCCTAATCTATCATAATGATAAACATGATATTCCCCAATCCTTCTTTAACTGATAACAGTAGTTCAGAGATATTTGAATTTCTAAATGACTTTTCCAGCCTCTAAATATTGTTATTGTTTTCATTTTGATGTCCCGCCCTCCACCGTTTCACCAATCAGAAAGTCTGTGATCCGGGCGCCAGAACTTACCGTGTAAAGCTAATGTCACTGGTAAAGTACCATGTGGCGCAGAACTTAAAAAGGTCCCGTCATGATTCTCAAATCATTAACAACAAAACAAGGAATAAAACCAGGATTTCTGTCTTTGTGAAAAAGGTGTTGGTTATAGATTTGTTGTTGACTAAACTTTTGTCTATTCAGCTGTTATGGTCCCAGCTGGATTCGTCTGCATATCTGGCAACCTGAGTCAGGGAGAGTGGGAGAGGCTGCAGTACCACTTTTGGCCAGATTTGTACACACTGCTCCTTTAAGGGATAACGGAGAATTGCAGATTCTTATGAGGCACAAGGTTCATATTTCCAAACAGACAGTTTCCATTCCACATCCAATGCAATTTTCTACAAAATAGCATGGTGAAAAAACTGTTGGGCTTAAACCCAGGTCAGCTTCCACATTACACTCACAGGTTCCCCCTACTGTCATTAAAAGGAACTGCACTTTACCTGGCCCCACCCAAACACACATGAAACAAAACGGCCTTTACAGTTAGCCTTAATGCTAGCTGCAGCCAATATCCTTATATGGGCATTTGTTCAGACGGCGTTAGCCTCGGGTAGCATGAAGGTCCTGGGTTTGATTCTACCTCCAGGAAATGTTGTTTGGAGTTTTCTAAATCACTAGTCACTTTACCTTTTTATTATTACTGCATTATTACATATCCATCTGATACTTCTGTCATTCACTAGTCACTTTACCTGCTGATATTGTTACTATTGTTTTTTATCAGAATCAGAATCAGAATCAGAATCATTTTTATTGCCAACGTAAGTAACGGGAGGTCACAGACTTGGAAATTGCTTTGGCTCAGTGCAACAGTCAAAAAGAGATAATAAAAATAAGAATTTATTATTAATTTATATTCTTTGCTGCTAAAGTACAATGTACACATCTACAATTATAGCTCCAGAGTTTTATTTGATTTGTTCTAGTAAGTAAGTTAGTAAGTAAGTTTTTATTTATATACCGCCTTTTCACTGCAGATCTGAGTCTCAAAGCGGTTTACAATTGTTAATTTTTGGGCATTTGTCTCTCACTCCACACAGAGATAGGAGTGGGGTCGCCAGTACAGGAGGCGCATGCTAGAACTATTGGACATATTTTTAGTGGTAGGGGAAACCGGAGTTCCCGGAGGAAACCTACGCAGACACGGGGAGAACATGCAAACTCCACTCAGAAAGGCCCTGGTCCGACCGGGATTCGAACCCAGGACCTTCTTGCTGAGAGGCGAGAGTGCTATCCACTCAGCCACCGTGTTCTGTTTTATATAGACTGTTGTGCGTATTCTGCTGAAATGTGCACTCACTGTGGGACGAATAAAGGAATATCTTATGTTCTCTTGTGTCTGCGTAGGTTTAAGGGAAATATAAAAATATTATCATTTCTTGTGTTAATGAGACAAAGTTTTAGCCAAATCATGAATACAGTCTTTAAATCTGATCTGATTTGTTGTTGTTTGTGTTCAGGCTCCGATAAACTTCAGCAACAGTGAGTTCTACGGTTTCTCTGAGTTTTATTACTGTATGGAGGACGTGCTGCGGATACGTGGAACCTACGACAGCCGCAAGTTCAGCCGCGCCGCCGCGGTGAGAGAGTACACAAAGACAGGAAGTACTGGGAAGAAGTAACGTTATTAAACTGTGTCTATTTCCTGTCGCTCTCTTTTGTCTCTCTCTCTTCTCTCTCTCTTCTGTCTGTCTCTTTTATCTCTCTTGTCTGTCTCTGTCTGTCTCTGTGTCCAGGACTACTGCTCCACCCAGTGGTCCGTTCTGAAACAGCGTCTGGACAATAAGCTGTTCTCACAACAGGCCGACCTCAACAGACTCAAGTGAGAAACACACACATGTCACTGCACACACACATGCACTTACACAAATATACACGGATATATACATATATATAGATAGATAGCTAGATAGATTATATATATATATATATATATATATATATATATATATATATATATATATATATATATATATATATATATATATATATATACATACATACGCACATACATACGCACACGCACACACGCACATATACACTTAAGATGAACCATTTCCTTTTCAAGATAGATGCACATACTATGTGTTTTTTGTCTTATTCTCTGATCTGTCTTTAGGGATCGATAATGTTGTCATAGCACTATAACAAATAGTGCTCTAATATAGGTAAAATAGCGTATACATAATCTATAATGTCATATTATACACCTACCACTTTGCACTGGTTTTTTTAGTCTCACTTTCTCTCCCTCCCCTCTCTCCCTCCCTCTCCCTCCCTACCCCCCTCTCTCTCTCTCTCTTTCTCTCTTTCTCTCCTTCTCTCTTTCTCTCTTTCTCTTTCTCTTTGTTGTAGATTCCAGTGTTTTAAGTCTGCGTGGATGTGGGAGGTCCTCCACACTGGGTTCCGATTCCCTCTGTCCTTCTCCAGCCTCAGGACGGCGCAGCTTGTTCAAGACAAAGAAGTGCAGTGGACTCTGGGAGCCATACTCTACAAGACACGCTTCCTGCCTCTCAGGTACACACACACATGGACACACACACAGGTACACACACACGGGTACACACACACATGGACACACACACGGGTACACACAGGTACACACACACGGACACATGCACACACATACACACACAGGTGAACTCGAGCTGGTGGCCTCTCTCTCTGGTCTCGCTTTCTCTCTGGTCTCTCTATGGTCTAATGCGTGTTCTCCTGGTCTCTCTTGTCTCTCTCTCTGGTATCTCTCTGGTCCCTCTCTGGTCCCTCTCTGGTCTCTCTCTGGTCTAATCCGTGTTCTCCTGGTCTCTCTCTGGTCTCTTTCTGGTCTCTCCTGGTCTCTCTCTAGTCTAATCCGTGTTCTCCTGGTCTCTCTGGTCCCTCTCTCTGGTCTCTCACTCTGGTCTCTCACTCTGGTCTCTCTCTCTGGTCTCTCTCTCTGGTCTCTCTCTGGTCCCTCTCTGATCTCTCCTAGTCTCGCTCTGGTCTAATGCGTGTCCTCCTGGTCTCTCTCTGGTCTAATGCCTGTTCTCCTGGTCCCTCTCTGGTCTCTCTCTGGTCTCTCCTGGTCCCTCTCTGGTCTCTCCTGGTCCCTCTCTGGTCTCTCTCTCTGGTCTCTCTCTCTCATGTCCCTCGCTGGTCTCTCTCTCCTGGTCTCTCTCTGGTCTAATGCGTGTCCTCCTGGTCTCTCCTGGTTCCTCTCTGGTCTCTCCTGGTCTCTCTCTGGTCTAATGCGTGTCCTCCTGGTCTCTCTCTGGTCTAATGCGTGTCCTCCTGGTCTCTCCTGGTCCCGCTCTGGTCTCTGCTGGTCTCTCTCTGGTCTAATGCGTGTCCTCCTGGTCTCTCTCTGGTCTCTCCTGGTCTCTCTCTGGTCTAATGCGTGTCCTCCTGGTCTCTCTCTGGTCTAATGCGTGTCCTCCTGGTCTCTCCCTGGTCTAATGCGTGTCCTCCTGGTCTCTCTCTGGTCTAATGCGTGTCCTCCTGGTCTCTCTCTGGTCTAATGCGTGTCCTCCTGGTCTCTCTCTGGTCTAATGCGTGTCCTCCTGGTCTCTCTCTGGTCTAATGCGTGTCCTCCTGGTCTCTCTCTGGTCTAATGCGTGTCCTCCTGGTCTCTCTCTGGTCTAATGCGTGTCCTCCTGGTCTCTCTCTGGTCTAATGCGTGTCCTCCTGGTCTCTCTCTGGTCTAATGCGTGTTCTCCTGGTCTCTCTCTGGTCTAATGCGTGTTCTCCTGGTCTCTCTCTGTCTAATGCGTGTCCTCCTGGTCTCTCTCTGGTCTAATGCGTGTCCTCCTGGTCTCTCTCTGGTCTCTCCTGGTCTCTCTCTGGTCTAATGCGTGTCCTCCTGGTCTCTCTTTGGTCTAATGCGTGTCCTCCTGGTCTCTCTCTGGTCTAATGCGTGTTCTCCTGGTCTCTCTCTGGTCTAATGCGTGTTCTCCTGGTCTCTCTCTGGTCTAATGCGTGTCCTCCTGGTCTCTCTCTGGTCTAATGCGTGTCCTCCTGGTCTCTCTCTGGTCTAATGCGTGTCTCCTGTCCTGGTCTAATGCGTGTCCTCCTGGTCTCTCTCTGGTCTAATGCGTGTCCTCCTGGTCTCTCTCTGGTCTAATGCGTGTCCTCCTGGTCTCTCTCTGGTCTAATGCGTGTCCTCCTGGTCTCTCTCTGGTCTAATGCGTGTCCTCCTGGTCTCTCTCTGGTCTAATGCGTGTCCTCCTGGTCTCTCTCTGGTCTAATGCGTGTCCTCCTGGTCTCTCTCTGGTCTAATGCGTGTCCTCCTGGTCTCTCTCTGGTCTAATGCGTGTCCTCCTGGTCTCTCTGGTCTAATGCGTGTCCTCCTGGTCTCTCTCTGGTCTAATGCGTGTCCTCCTGGTCTCTCTCTGGTCTAATGCGTGTCCTCCTGGTCTCTCTCTGGTCTAATGCGTGTCCTCCTGGTCTCTCTCTGGTCTAATGCGTGTCCTCCTGGTCTCTCTCTGGTCTAATGCGTGTCCTCCTGGTCTCTCTCTGGTCTAATGCGTGTCCTCCTGGTCTCTCTCTGGTCTAATGCGTGTCCTCCTGGTCTCTCTCTGGTCTAATGCGTGTCCTCCTGGTCTCTCTCTGGTCTAATGCGTGTCCTCCTGGTCTCTCTCTGGTCTAATGCGTGTCCTCCTGGTCTCTCTCTGGTCTAATGCGTGTCCTCCTGGTCTCTCTCTGGTCTAATGCGTGTCCTCCTGGTCTCTCTCTGGTCTAATGCGTGTCCTCCTGGTCTCTCTCTGGTCTAATGCGTGTCCTCCTGGTCTCTCTCTGGTCTAATGCGTGTCCTCCTGGTCTCTCTCTGGTCTAATGCGTGTCCTCCTGGTCCTCTCTGGTCTAATGCGTGTCCTCTGGTCTCTTGGTCTAATGCGTGTCCTCCTGGTCTCTCTCTGGTCTAATGCGTGTCCTCCTGGTCTCTCTCTGGTCTAATGCGTGTCCTCCTGGTCTCTCTCTGGTCTAATGCGTGTCCTCCTGGTCTCTCTCTGGTCTAATGCGTGTCCTCCTGGTCTCTCTCTGGTCTAATGCGTGTCCTCCTGGTCTCTCTCTGGTCTAATGCGTGTCCTCCTGGTCTCTCTCTGGTCTAATGCGTGTCCTCCTGGTCTCTCTCTGGTCTAATGCGTGTCCTCCTGGTCTCTCTCTGGTCTAATGCGTGTCCTCCTGGTCTCTCTCTGGTCTAATGCGTGTCCTCCTGGTCTCTCTCTGGTCTAATGCGTGTCCTCCTGGTCTCTCTCTGGTCTAATGCGTGTCCTCCTGGTCTCTCTCTGGTCTAATGCGTGTCCTCCTGGTCTCTCTCTGGTCTAATGCGTGTCCTCCTGGTCTCTCTCTGGTCTAATGCGTGTTCTCCTGGTCTCTCTCTGGTCTAATGCGTGTCCTCCGGTCTCTCTCTGGTCTAATGCGTGTCCTCCCGGTCTCTCTCTGGTCTAATGCGTGTCCTCCTGGTCTCTCTCTGGTCTAATGCGTGTCCTCCTGGTCTCTCTCTGGTCTAATGCGTGTCCTCCTGGTCTCTCCTGGTTCCTCTCTGGTCTCTCCTGGTTCCTCTCTGGTCTCTCCTGGTCTCTCTCTGGTCTAATGCGTGTCCTCCTGGTCTCTCTCTGGTCTCTCCTGGTCTCTCTCTGGTCTAATGCGTGTCCTCCTGGTCTCTCTCTGGTCTAATGCGTGTCCTCCTGGTCTCTCTCTGGTCTAATGCGTGTTCTCCTGGTCTCTCTCTGGTCTAATGCGTGTTCTCCTGGTCTCTCTCTGGTCTAATGCGTGTCTCCTGGTCTCTCTCTGGTCTAATGCGTGTCCTCCTGGTCTCTCTCTGGTCTAATGCGTGTCCTCCTGGTCTCTCTCTGGTCTAATGCGTGTCCTCCTGGTCTCTCTCTGGTCTAATGCGTGTCCTCCTGGTCTCTCTCTGGTCTAATGCTTCCTCCTCTGGTCTCTCTCTGGTCTAATGCGTGTCCTCCTGGTCTCTCTCTGGTCTAATGCGTGTCCTCCTGGTCTCTCTCTGGTCTAATGCGTGTCCTCCTGGTCTCTCTCTGGTCTAATGCGTGTCCTCCTGGTCTCTCTGGTCTAATGCGTGTCCTCCTGGTCTCTCTGGTCTAATGCGTGTCCTCCTGGTCTCTCTCTGGTCTAATGCGTGTCCTCCTGGTCTCTCTCTGGTCTAATGCGTGTCCTCCTGGTCTCTCTCTGGTCTAATGCGTGTCTTCCTGGTCTCTCTCTGGTCTAATGCGTGTCCTCCTGGTCTCTCTCTGGTCTAATGCGTGTCCTCCTGGTCTCTCTCTGGTCTAATGCGTGTCCTCCTGGTCTCTCTCTGGTCTAATGCGTGTCCTCCTGGTCTCTCTCTGGTCTAATGCGTGTCCTCCTGGTCTCTCTCTGGTCTAATGCGTGTCCTCCTGGTCTCTCTCTGGTCTAATGCGTGTCCTCCTGGTCTCTCTCTGGTCTAATGCGTGTCCTCCTGGTCTCTCTCTGGTCTAATGCGTGTCCTCCTGGTCTCTCTCTGGTCTAATGCGTGTCCTCCTGGTCTCTCTCTGGTCTAATGCGTGTCCTCCTGGTCTCTCTGGTCTAATGCGTGTCCTCCTGGTCTCTCTGGTCTAATGCGTGTCCTCCTGGTCTCTCTCTGGTCTAATGCGTGTCCTCCTGGTCTCTCTGGTCTAATGCGTGTCCTCCTGGTCTCTCTCTGGTCTAATGCATGTTCTCCTGGTCTCTCTCTGGTCTAATGCGTGTCCTCCTGGTCTCTCTCTGGTCTAATGCGTGTCCTCCTGGTCTCTCTCTGGTCTAATGCGTGTCCTCCTGGTCTCTCTCTGGTCTAATGCGTGTCCTCCTGGTCTCTCTCTGGTCTAATGCGTGTCCTCCTGGTCTCTCTCTGGTCTAATGCGTGTCCTCCTGGTCTCTCTCTGGTCTAATGCGTGTTCTCCTGGTCTCTCTCTGGTCTAATGCGTGTCCTCCCGGTCTCTCTCTGGTCTAATGCGTGTCCTCCCGGTCTCTCTCTGGTCTAATGCGTGTCCTCCTGGTCTCTCTCTGGTCTAATGCGTGTCCTCCTGGTCTCTCTCTGGTCTAATGCGTGTCCTCCTGGTCTCTCTCTGTCTAATGCGTGTTTTCCTGGTCTCTCTCTGGTCTAATGCGTGTTCTCCTGGTCTCTCTCTGGTCTAATGCGTGTCCTCCTGGTCTCTCTCTGGTCTAATGCGTGTCCTCCTGGTCTCTCTCTGGTCTAATGCGTGTCCTCCTGGTCTCTCTCTGGTCTAATGCGTGTCCTCCTGGTCTCTCTCTGGTCTAATGCGTGTCCTCCTGGTCTCTCTCTGGTCTAATGCGTGTCCTCCTGGTCTCTCTCTGGTCTAATGCGTGTCCTCCTGGTCTCTCTCTGGTCTAATGCTTGTCCTCCTGGTCTCTCTCTGGTCTAATGCGTGTCCTCCTGGTCTCTCTCTGGTCTAATGCGTGTTCTCCTGGTCTCTCTCTGGTCTAATATGTGTCCTCCTGGTCTCTCTCTGGTCTAATGTGTGTCCTCCTGGTCTCTCTCTGGTCTAATGCGTGTCCTCCTGGTCTCTCTCTGGTCTAATGCGTGTCCTCCTGGTCTCTCTCTGGTCTAATGCGTGTGCTCCTGGTCTCTCTGGTCTAATGCGTGTCCTCCCGGTCTCTCTCTGGTCTAATGCGTGTCCTCCCGGTCTCTCTCTGGTCTAATGCGTGTCCTCCTGGTCTCGCTCTGGTCTAATGCGTGTCCTCCTGGTCTCTCTCTGGTCTAATGCGTGTCCTCCTGGTCTCTCTCTGTCTAATGCGTGTTTTCCTGGTCTCTCTGGTCTAATGCGTGTTCTCCTGGTCTCTCTCTGGTCTAATGCGTGTCCTCCTGGTCTCTCTCTGGTCTAATGCGTGTCCTCCTGGTCTCTCTCTGGTCTAATGCGTGTCCTCCTGGTCTCTCTCTGGTCTAATGCGTGTCCTCCTGGTCTCTCTCTGGTCTAATGCTTGTCCTCCTGGTCTCTCTCTGGTCTAATGCGTGTCCTCCTGGTCTCTCTCTGGTCTAATGCGTGTTCTCCTGGTCTCTCTCTGGTCTAATATGTGTCCTCCTGGTCTCTCTCTGGTCTAATGTGTGTCCTCCTGGTCTCTCTCTGGTCTAATGCGTGTCCTCCTGGTCTCTCTCTGGTCTAATGCGTGTCCTCCTGGTCTCTCTCTGGTCTAATGCGTGTGCTCCTGGTCTCTCTGGTCTAATGCGTGTCCTCCTGGTCTCTCTCTGGTCTAATGCATGTTCTCCTGGTCTCTCTCTCTGGTCTAATGCGTGTGCTCCTGGTCTCTCTGGTCTAATGCGTGTCCTCCTGGTCTCTCTCTGGTCTAATGCGTGTCCTCCTGGTCTCTCTCTGGTCTAATGCGTGTCCTCCTGGTCTCTCTCTGGTCTAATGCATGTTCTCCTGGTCTCTCTCTGGTCTAATGCGTGTCCTCCTGGTCTCTCTTTGGTCTAATGCGTGTCCTCCTGGTCTCTCTCTGGTCTAATGCGTGTCCTCCTGGTCTCTCTCTGGTCTAATGCGTGTTCTCCTGGTCTCTCTCTGGTCTAATGCGTGTCCTCCTGGTCTCTCTCTGGTCTAATGCGTGTCCTCCTGGTCTCTCTCTGGTCTAATGCGTGTTCTCCTGGTCTCTCTCTGGTCTAATGCGTGTCCTCCTGGTCTCTCAGGGACCTGCGTCAGGAGCCAGTGCGTCCCAACAGCAGCAGTTGGCTGCGCTCGTCCTTCGTCTATAACCACCACGTCCTGTCGGTCTGCATCCTGGTGGTGGCGCTGTCCATCCTGCTCTACCTGCTGCGGCTGCGAAGGATCCACCAGAGGGAGCAGCGGCAGAACGACGTGCTCCAGCTGCTGTGGGCGGAGGAGGGGGAGGCTCTTCTGCCGTGAGACCAGAGAGAGGGACCAGAGAGAGGGACCAGAGAGAGGGACCAGAGAGAGGGACCAGAGAGAGGGACCAGAGAGAGGGACCAGAGAGAGGGACCAGAGAGAGGGACCAGAGAGAGGGACCAGAGAGAGGGACCAGAGAGAGGGACCAGAGAGAGGGACCAGAGAGAGGGACCAGAGAGAGGGACCAGAGAGAGGGACCAGAGAGAGGGACCAGAGAGAGGGACCAGAGAGAGGGACCAGAGAGAGGGACCAGAGAGAGGGACCAGAAAGAGGGACCAGAAAGAGGGACCAGAAAGAGGGACCAGAAAGAGGGACCAGAGAGAGGGACCAGAGAGAGAGAGGGACCAGAGAGAGAGAGGGACCAGAGAGAGAGAGGGACCTGAGAGAGGGAGGGACCAGAGAGAGAGAGGGAGAGGGGGACCAGCTTTTAATCTGAATTTAAGTACAAGACACCAGTCCCTGTGCTCCTCAGAGTCCCAGCAGGAGGCCGGTCCCTGTGCTCCTCAGAGTCCCAGCAGGAGGCCGGTCCCTGTGCTCCTCAGAGTCCCAGCAGGAGGCCGGTCCCTGTGCTCCTCAGAGTCCCAGCAGGAGGCCGGTCCCTATGCTCCTCAGAGTCCCAGCAGGAGGCCGGTCCCTGTGCTCTTCAGATGTACTTGAGGCCGTGGAGAGACTTGAATTATTTCTTCTGCTCAAAAGTCACAGATTGTTATTTCAGATCAGGTCCAGAGGGTTTTCACTTTTGAAGACGTTTGAATCTGCTCTGATTTGACTTTTTATCCAGGTTTAATGTGAAAAATAGACTTGCAGTTCCCTGTGTGCACTCCAGGGGGCGGTCTGTGTTCTCTGCAATTATGGGAATGTTTGTATGTTGATGGCTTGAGTCTGTAGACACAGGTACATTCTGGGAAATCCACTTTTTTACATTGTTTTTCTATATAATGTATGCATTCTGTTTCCGTGGCAACTGTGAGGTCCATGATGTTTCCAGTTTCACTTCATTCCAGCTCAAATAACTTCGTATTTATGTTTTTTGTCTTTAAAAACGAGATTTGTCAAAGGAGCAGGGTTCAAGCAGGAGTAGAAATTAAAGCTGGGGTTCGTAACTTTCAAATCATAACACAACATTGGTCTATGTTGGTTTTAAATACCATGACACTAGTTCCTGGTTTGCTTCAATCTCTGATTTTCATGTATTTTGGAGAGAGACACCAGGGACCAGAGAGAGAGAGAGAGAGAGAGACAGACAGGGGACCAGAGAGAGAGAGAGAGAGACAGACAGGGGACCAGAGAGAGAGAGAGAGAGAGACAGACAGGGGACCAGAGAGAGAGAGAGAGAGACAGACAGGGGACCAGAGAGAGAGAGAGACAGACAGGGGACCAGAGAGAGAGAGAGAGAGAGAGACAGACAGGGGACCAAAGAGAGAGAGACAGACCGGGGACCAGAGAGACTGGCCAGGGACCAGGAAGAGACGGACTCTCAGCTCTTTCTTGCACTTAAGAGTTTTTTCAAAGAGATGAAGACTGCATGTTAGGTACCCCAGCTTTAAGTAAGGGAGTGATTCTAGCTTTACCAGAGAAGATTTTGACGGGCACTGGTTAGACCCGCCCACTCTCACCCCTGCAGCATTCTGATTGGTCGATAATATTTCAAATCCTTGAGGCCCCTCTTCATTGGTTTGTTGTTGTCCTCCAGCAAATCTCACTGGTCTGAGTTAAGCCGAGGGAACGGACTGTCTTTAATGTAATGTTAGGAATGTATCACAGTGGAGGAGCTCGCCGTAGAGCCGCTGCTCCTCCACGTGGAAAGGAGCCAGTGAAGGTGGCTCAGTTTGGGACGCCTCCTGGACACCTGGGGACCTTTTAGGACTCGTACTTGAGCCAAATCGCACACAGATGTCGCGTCGTATTTGTTCAATAATATAAGACTGTAATCCTCCACAGTTGCCATGGAAACAACAGATATAAAATCATTGCCTATCGTCTTTGAAGCGACGTCCAATCGAATGTCTCTCTGCCCTTTGGTGGAGTTAGCTGTATTTATCCCACAATGGGAGATCTGCTTTTACTTGTCAATAATTGTAGATATTTTTTAAACTCTGGGCCATGACTCGTCAGACGAAGCCTGTTCCTGACGTCTCAGAGCGGCGTCCATTTTGACTTGAACTTGTTTTGATCTTCGTCCATTTTGACCGTTCCAGCTCCATGTGACGATGCGGAACTCTCCGGGAACGACCTCAAATCTTTTTGTTTAGATCCCGACGCAGGAAAAGTCCTCATTCTGTGTTGTGTTTTGAAAGACTTCAGGACTTATTCTGTTTTTCTAATCTCTGTTGGCGATTGTCCTGTAAAGAAATGTAAAAAACCCAAAGCAAATAATAAACTTGTGTAAAAGTTATGTTTGGGATTATTTCAGTCTCTTCCTCAGTCTCTGCTTCAGTCTCTTCCTCAGTCTCTGCTTCAGTCTCTGCCTCAGTCTCTGCTTCAGTCTCTGCCTCAGTCTCTGCTTAAGTCTCTGCCTCAGTCTCTGCCTCAGTCTCTGCTTCAGTCCCGGCCTCAGTCTCTGCTTCAGTCTCTGCCTCAGTCTCTGCCTCAGTCTCTGCTTCAGTCCCGGCCTCAGTCTCTGCTTCAGTCTCTTCCTCAGTCTCTGCTTCAGTCTCTGCCTCAGTCTCTGCCTCAGTCTCTGCTTCAGTCTCTGCCTCAGTCTCTGCCTCAGTCTCTGCTTCAGTCTCTGCCTCAGTCTCTGCTCCAGTCTCTGCCTCAGTCTCTGCCTCAGTCTCTGCTTCAGTCTCTTCCTCAGTCTCTGCTTCAGTCTCTGCCTCAGTCTCTGCTTCAGTCTCTGCCTCAGTCTCTGCTTCAGTCTCTGCCACAGTCTCTGCCACAGTCTCTGCCTCAGCCTCTGCTTCAGTCCCGGCCTCAGTCTCTGCCTCAGTCTCTGCCTCAGTCTCTGCTTCAGTCTCGGCCTCAGTCTCTGCCTCAGTCTCTGCTCCAGTCTCTGCTTCAGTCTCTGCCTCAGTCTCTGCTTAAGTCTCTGCCTCAGTCTCTGCTTCAGTCTCTGCCTCAGTCTCTGCCTCAGTCTCTGCTTCAGTCTCGGCCTCAGTCTCTGCCTCAGTCTCTGCTTCAGTCTCTGCTTAACTCTCTGCCTCAGTCTCTGCCTCAGCCTCTGCCTCAGTCTCTGCTTCAGTCTCTGCTTCAGTCTCTGCCTCAGTCTCTGCCTCAGTCTCTGCTTCAGTCTCTGCTTCAGTCTCTGCCTCAGTCTCTGCCTCAGTCTCTGCTTCAGTCTCTGCTTCAGTCTCTGCCTCAGTCTCTGCCTCAGTCTCTGCTTAAGTCTCTGCTTCAGTCTCTGCCTCAGTCTCTGCCTCAGTCTCTGCTTCAGTCTCTGCTTCAGTCTCTGCTTCAGTCTCTGCCTCAGTCTCTGCCTCAGTCTTGCTTAGTCTCTGCTTCAGTCTCGGCCTCAGTCTCTGCCTCAGTCTCTGCTTCAGTCTCTGCTTCAGTCTCTGCTCAGTCTCTGCTCAGTCTCTGCTCAGTCTCTGCTTCAGTCTCTGCTCAGTCTCTGCTCAGTCTCTGCTCAGTCTCTCTGCTCAGTCTCTGCCTCAGTCTCTGCCTCAGTCTCTGCTTCAGTCTCTGCTTCAGTCTCTGCCTCAGTCTCTGCCTCAGTCTCTGCTTAAGTCTCTGCTTCAGTCTCGGCCTCAGTCTCTGCCTCAGTCTCTGCTTCAGTCTCTGCTTCAGTCTCGGCCTCAGTCTCTGCCTCAGTCTCTGCTTCAGTCTCTGTTTCAGTCTCTGCCTCAGTCTCTGCTTCAGTCTCTGCCTCAGTCTCTGCTTCAGTCTCTTCCTCAGTCTCTGCTTCAGTCTCTGCCTCAGTCTCTGCTTCAGTCTCTGCCTCAGTCTCTGCCTCAGTCTCTGCTCAGTCTCTGCTCAGTCTCTGCTTCAGTCTCTGCTCAGTCTCTGCTCTCAGTCTCTGCTTCAGTCTCTGCTTCAGTCTCTGCTCTCTCAGTCTCTGCTCAGTCTCTGCTTCAGTCTCTGCTCAGTCTCTGCTCAGTCTCTGCTCAGTCTCTGCTCAGTCTCTGCCTCAGTCTCTGCTTCAGTCTCTGCTTCAGTCTCAGTCTGCTTCAGTCTCTGCTTCAGTCTCTGCTCAGTCTCTGCTCAGTCTCTGCTCAGTCTCTGCTTCAGTCTCTGCTTCAGTCTCTGCTTCAGTCTCTGCTTCAGTCTCTGCCTCAGTCTCTGCCTCAGTCTCTGCTTCAGTCTGCTTCAGTCTCAGCCTCAGTCTCTCTGCCTCAGTCTCTGCCTCAGTCTCTGCTTCAGTCTCTGCTTAAGTCTCTGCCTCAGTCTCTGCTTCAGTCTCTGCCTCAGTCTCTGCCTCAGTCTCTGCCTCAGTCTCTGCTTCAGTCTCTGCCTCAGTCTCTGCTTCAGTCTCTAATTCAGTCTCTGCCTCAGTATCTGCTTCAGTCTCTGCTTCAGTCTCTGCTTCAGTCTCTAATTCAGTCTCTGCTTCAGTCTCTGCTTCAGTCTCTGCCTCAGTCTCTGCTTCAGACTCTGCCTCAGTCTCTGCTTCAGTCTCTGCTTCAGTCTCTGCTTCAGTCTCTGCCTCAGTCTCTGCCTCAGTCTCTGCTTCAGTCACTGCTTCAGTCTCTAATTCAGTCTCTGCTTCAGTCTCTGCTTCAGTCTCTGCTTCAGTCTCTGCCTCAGTCTCTGCTTCAGTCTCTGCTTCAGTCTCTGCTTCAGTCTCTGCCTCAGTCTCTGCCTCAGTCTCTGCCTCAGTCTCTGCTTCAGTCTCTGCCTCAGTCTCTGCTCAGTCTCTGCTTCAGTCTCTGCTCAGTCTCTGCTCAGTCTCTGCTTCAGTCTCTGCTCAGTCTCTGCCTCAGTCTCTGCTCAGTCTCTGCTCAGTCTCTGCTCAGTCTCTGCTCATCTCAGTCTCTGCTTCAGTCTCTGCTCAGTCTCTGCTTCAGTCTCTGCTTCAGTCTCTGCTTCAGTCTCTGCTTCAGTCTCTGCCTCAGTCTCTGCTC